ACCCCACCTCCACCCACACACTGAAGGAAGTGCTGGGAGCTGGATTACAGGAGCCATGCTGTCAAGGGCTGCCACAAAGTTCAGGGGGAAGTACAGCACATTGGGAACTTGAGTGAGTTTTTGGGACTGAACTCTGAGTAACTATCTTGGGAGCAAACCTTGAAGGAAACTCTGAGTGCTAGGTGGCTTGTTTCTTGCATGTAGGAGCACTAAACCCATTAATTTTAATTCTGAAATGCTTTGGGATATGAGTTCAAATCCAAATCCCACACCAACATTTGGACTCATCATCCCCAGTGCTGACACTTCAGAAGGGTTAGCAGGAGAAGGGTGGACCCTTCACAGTTATAGTATAGTACAGTAAGGGCTTGTTTCTTCTCTAGAAGATGGTCACATCACAGACCTTAGCTCTCTCAATCTTTTTCACTCTGACTGGGGTTGGAGGGTTTTGTATGGAGACAAACTTTTTCAGGTGTTGGCCCCTTTAAAACTGGCCAACAGAATGTCGTCTTTTGAAGAGATGAGGGTTCCAGTACAGTTGAGACAGGTGGATTGGGCTGTGTCGGCAGATGGGCTGTGGATCCCTGATCCCACCCTCCCCTAGGGGAAACCAGGCAGGAGGGGCAAGGCTTGGAGGAAATTTACAGTGAAAGGAACCAGAACAAAGGCAAAGTGTTAAAGAGAATCCTCAGAGGAGGAAAGACCAAGGAGACAATAGAAAAAGCGAGCAAGAGACAGACGGAGAAAGGAAGGCAGGGAAGACAGGTGACGTGAAAATGTAGATATTATTGCTAGACAAATCCTGTGCACTCTTCTCTAAAGTATTAGTGTTTATATAATATAAAGTTGTGACCTTGATCATTGCTAAGTTCAGGTCCCTGCTCTGCCACTCACTCCTTGTGTAACTTTGAGGGGGGTTAGCCTCATTATAGTTCAGTTTCACCACCAGTAGAAATGGACATAGTACCCATCTAGCTCACAGAGTAGTTGTAAGGCTGTTTGTAAAGTACTTTGAGCTCTTCAAAGTAAAAGCACTGACTTAAGTTTTCACAGTATTATTATTGTTGCTATTATATTTGAATCCTTATGAAATTGGGTATTTTTATTTACTAATCATGTATATTTTATTCTTAATCAACAGTAAATAAAGGAAAATTAACAGACCAATTGCTCGTTTTGAAAATGGTATTTAGTATTAAGAGCAGTATTATAGTAATCAAGTGTTACATTTTTAATAGTCATTTTGAATATGTCTGACTTCTAATTAAAAAGCTGTCTTTTTAGCTGTTTTGCCTCATCAAATTGTCAAGATAGCAGATTCCTTTTTGATTATTCTTTAGCATTATATTTAAGACATTTTTAAAGTAATCATTTAACAATTAGAATATATTACACTTGAGTTTCTCGTAATATCAAGGTTCCTGTTGCCCATTTCTTGTTGCTCTGTACAAGTTAAAGATCCCTTGCATGACCATTCCTGAAACTAGTAAAATAAATCCTTGCTGTCTCAAATGAAACAGGTTCTAATGTCTAAGGTTATATTGAAGGGCATGTAATGGCTACTGTGTTTTTTACACAGTCACTGCTGTGCTAGTATTTAATTAATTATGCAGTAAAGCACTTTGACGTACCTTGAATATGAAAGGCAACTCTGTAAAACCAAATTCTGCTCTGTTGAATCCAGATGAGATGAAGAGATTTTTTTACTCTCCCTTTAGAACTCATGAACAGAGTTGAGATTAGTTTAATAAAATGTCCCCCCAGTTGTAGAACTAGGGCATATCATTCTGATGGGCTATTTAATTTGAGAAAATTACTGAAAACAAAAGGAAAAATATATTGTTGCCCTGCCCTCCTCTACCCCAAAAGCCTCTCATATTCTTGGGAAAACGACAATCCAGTGTTACAGTGACACAGTCACTGTGGTGCTAGTAATTAGGAACAAAGTGATGTTAAAAAATTTAGAAGAAAATTTTAGGAGGTGTGGCAGATTTTATGTCCTCCTACATGGCACATTTCACCACCAATGTTATTTCCCCTTGACAGTTGCTATTATATATGATAAACGATCCAATACTAATTTCCTGTTGGCCAAAAATATAAAAGGAGAATTAAAAAAAAATACTTAATGGAATCAGTTGATAGCTCAGCAGCACAATGGACTCCTGCTACCATATACAAATGTGGAAATAAATGTTGGTATGAAGTGGAGAGATTTCAGTTTCAAAACAGGAAGTGTTGATCCCTTTGTGATGATGTAAGACAATTATTTTATTCTATTAAACTCAAATGAAAAGACTGATGTAGATTTTAATCATTAACTAATGGGTGTTGATGCAGTGGAGTGACAGTTGCTCCAATTGCCATTAGAGATCTTGTACATTTTGAATTGCTTAAAAAAAAGGACTGACTAATGGGCATAAAAATAGTTTTAAAAAATGTATGCCTTGTTTTTATGACTAAGTTGGGGTTTATCTGAAAGAAGATTGTTTTTAACTTTTTACACTGAATAACTTTATACTTTATTCAGTTTATCATTTGTCTGAGATGGGCTGTAAACTCTTTAGAGGAGGGAACTTGTCTCATATGTTAAAACACGACATATACTTACTGTGTTCTATAAATAATATTGAGTTTATCCAGCAGGCTATTTGGCAGATTCCATCTGGTATATTTTAATATAAGTATTGTTTCTCCTTTGATATTGATACTTTTTGAAAGTACTGAAAGAAGGCATGCTTAAGTATTTAATATGCTGGTCTAGCTGCTGTGGCATGGGAAAGGAAGTTGTGTTTGTTTAGTATCAGGACAGAAAATCCCATGCTCGTTTTGTTCACTGCTGCAATTTAACCTGGCATGAATTAATACAAGAGAACCTGTTCTGCATGAAAAAAAAAAATCTGTTTATATTTTTTCTGAAGTTGTATCTAAAGGTTTGGGACCTTGCTTTGTTGGATTTGTCACTATCTTTCAAAGAAGCAGCAGTTTTTCAACATGATATCAGGAGAAATTTTACTCTTTTTTTTAAACTGTGCTTTACATTTCAGAAGCTCAGCAAAGGCAAGCAGAAAAAATGTCTTATTTCAATGAAAAAATCTTAAAACCATGGTCTCAAAAAGATAAGCAAATCATGGCTATCTTTAAATTTTCATTTACACTGCTTTATTCTGCACAAAGCATGATCCTGCAAGCTGACCCGCATGGGTAGATCCCTGCAAACACAGGGAGCCCCTCTGGCTTCAGTGGGGCTCCACATGGCTATAAAGGGCCTGTGCAGCTCAGCATGCAGGATCAGCCGTTAACCTACTGTATACTTCCTCATTTGATAGCCTATGTTTAAGTGTATGTATTGAAGCTCTCAAATGAGGATGTATACAGTAGGTTAACTACTATCCAATAACTGTTAACTCACTTTGACACTTTAAAATCAGCAGAAGTTTGGAACTCCTGACCAAACATCTAGTTTTTTAAAAATAACTGCTACAGTGCTGTCTCCTTAGATAATAATAAACTGAATAATCCCCACTTCAGCCACTAGTTTCTATTGCTGTTACTCTACTTCCCCAACCCCTTCATCTTTCTAATGTGGAGGGCTTGGTTCAAGCCGAAAGCAGCTTTCCCATGGTAGTGGGATACTGCAAATTAGATGCACAGATCATGACTATGTGTTTTACTGAAAACATTATGAATGTGGGATTCCTTCCTTCCTTCACTGTCTGCAGCTTATTTCAAACCATGAGATAAAGTTTTCCAAAACTGCCTAGATTAAAGGTTTGTTTCCTTTGAAATTTAATCTCCAACCACCTAGTTCTATATTATTTATATTACTGTAACTCCTAGAAGCTCCAGTCATGGACCAGGACCCTATTGTGCTAGGGTCATCTCTACATCTACCAACTGACACTTACTTACATAGTGTTTTTTTCCCCAAAGAGCTACCAAAATGGGTCACTGAACATTGTACTGTGATCACTTCACTTTACCCATTGCTGAAATGAGGTGGAACACAGCAACCATTCTGTGCTAACAGCACGATGATCCATCATTGTAGGTGGAGAAGTACTTTTTCAATTGAAAATGCAGCAGAAATCCAGAAAAATGTGTATATAATTACTCTAACTGGAATTCAGTCAACACATCTCAAGTGTCAGTTCCTACATTATGAAAAGTACCAGGGGATCTTTTATATCTGCAAGTGAACAAGGTCTTAGTTTGAAGTCCCATCTGAAAGACAGCCTTACCAGCATCATTTCAGTAGCGTCTGCTGAGCTAACAGTGCTACCACTGTGCAATGCATCTTTCAGCACCTACATTTTCTTTGGTAGTCTCTCAGCTATGTAATGAGCAGGCTTGATGCAGCATAGTTCAAGGGGTTCTTAGACTGTAAGCCCTTTGGGGCAGGAACCATGTCTTCATATGTGATTGCACACATGCTAGTTCAATTGGGGCCCTGCTCCTGGATGGGTACATTGCAACACAAATGTAAAATAACAAATCACTTGATAGGATCACAATTTATTAATGCCTCAGTTGGCTTGACTGCATCAAGCCTGTCCTGATCTTCTTACACCACAAATTCAGTGCTGCGCTGGCTGATGCCTCCAAGAGAGCAGCCACCTTTTCTTTGCCTTGTCCTTGGCTGGAGGGAAGATAAGAAAGGCTTAGTCAGAGACCAAGGGGCAGGAAGGGGGAGCGCTGTGCTTGTTTAGCTGAGAGCCGAAGGTCAGGCACACTCCACAGCTCCTTTCTTTTTGCTCTCGGGGATGGAATTAAGGCCCAGTACTCCAGTACCATGGGGGGATCTTTCATCCCCCACCTTCGCCACTCACTGAAGCGATAGCCTAGGAGCCCTGGCTAACCTCCGCGCTGGGGAGCAGGGGCTCGGCCACGGCTGGGTCTCGTCCTCCTTATCAGCCGGAGTGGATGCTGCAAGGCGTGTCCGGGGCTCTGCTCATGTGATGGAGCCAGCGGGAGAGACGGGCGGGGGGACAAGGGAGGAGGTGATTTTTTTAAAGGAGTTGGCAGGAAGCGGGGCTGGCTCCTTCATTCGCAGGCTAGGCTCACCCTGAGCAGGAGCGGCCGGAGCCCGCCGGGGGCTGCCGGGCGGACATCCCCATTGTTACCGGTGCTGGGCGGACTCCCCCCGGGGCGAGCGGACAGAAGCGGGGCGCCGGGAGAGCGGCAGCCGCACACACCGACATGGGCGCGGGCAGCTCGGCGGAGCAGCGGAGTCCGCAGGACGCGCCCACTGCAGCAGCGGAGTCCGAGCCTGCCAGTCCGGAGGCGGCGGCGGCGGCGCCGCTTGAGCAGCCCGAGGACCCCGCCAAGGTACCAGCCTCGTCCCTTGCAAAGCGGCGGGGCTGAGCCCGCTGTGTGCGTGTGGGGGGGGCATTCCCCCCTTACACCCACCCGCCGGCCGGGGCAAACTTCCCGCCCGCCCGCGGCTGAACACCTGCCTCCGGCACCCGCCCCTCCCCGCGCGTGGGGGCGGCCAAGTGTAGTGCGCGGCGCGGCGCTTTGCCCGCAGCGCTCTGGGGTTGGGAACTGCGCTAGCGGCGGCTCCGGCCGCAGTCCTCAAACTCCGCCCGCCCCCCGGCGGCCAGCCCTGCGCCTGATGCGGCCCGCCAAGGGGGCCAGGGGCGGGAGCCCCCTTCCTCCCCCACGCGCCGCGGCTGCTGGTAAGCTCGGGCGGGCCCTCTCCTGCATTGCCCCTGGTAAGCGCCTTGCTCACCTTCGGGCGCTAACTACATCCCATTGCATCTGCTCCCTGCAGTGCAGCTGGCTCCGCTCAGCCCGCGGGGGCAGCCTCTCGGGGGGAGGGGTTACCACAGACCCACCCTTCTTCATCCCCTGCGTATGTGTGTGCTTGTGGGGGAGACCCCTCCCAGTACCCGGGGCTACAGCCGCCTGACTGCGGTGCGCTCCTGCAGTCAGCGCTCAGTGGTACCCCGTGCTCGTGCTGCTGCTCTCTGCAGTCTCCTCTCCTCCCCACAGAGGATGCAGGTGGGAGGCGCCTCTGGTCTGTGCGAAGGAAAACCAGCTAATCTATGGCTTTTCCAGCCTCTCCTGCCTTGACAAGTTGGTCAAACTCGACAGCAGCCTTCCCTGCCTCCCCCCTCCCCTTTCCCTACATTATGACAGCATCTGTGCTGAGTAAACACCCAACTGGAGATTCTCACATCGTGTCATACATGTGTGCAACATGTACAATTTTTAAACTAAAAATAAAGTTGGCAATAGTAGTTAGTCCCTAACGGTAGTTTCCATAATCCTTAATGTATTCCCATAGGAAATGTAGTAATTAGCTAAAGTGAACCAGCACAGATGAGAATGTAAGTGTCTTAATAGATGTGTTGGAGAATTGCAAGAAATTATTTTAATGTGTTTGCGGTTTACAGTAAGTTATGAACGAATACATTTTCAATGTGCTGGAACACTTTCTTGATGGGGGGGTGATGGGGGTGGGAGAGAAATTATGTGCATCAAGGATGTTTTCATAACATTAGCTTCGTTTTTAGATTGTTCTATATAACAGAGGGGAAAAACTACGTATTGATGCAGAAGTTATCCAACTTTTCCGGTTCTTCAGAGCTGGGGGTCTTTAAAGTATGAGCATTCAAAAATTCTTTTAATCTAATGTGTGGGTGTGAAAGCTTGAGAACTGGTTGTGGCTTGGTTTCCTTAACCTTGTGGTTCTGATTTTAGCTTTCAGCTACAATTTTCCATAGTTCCTGGCCTCCATGCTTGCATGTTTTGACAGATTCAGTAGTGCACATTAAACTTTAATAGCTTTAAAATCAATGTTAGTTTATAAGATATTGTGGTATTTTGCGATAGTAGTTTGGTATTCAGAAGCCAAAAGTTTACAGCAGGCAAGATGATTGTTGTGAATCTTTTTGGTAGACATTAATGGCAGAAATAATTAAATATTTCTGAAATATCTGACAAAGGTGATTGAAGACAACATTACTTTACTCTGGAGAGGAAAAAATCCTGAGACGGTCAAGCCAGTATCTTTTCAAATTATATGAAAAATATGTTTCACAGTCAAGATAATGTTAATATCTAAGAAGGGACATAAAATTCATAATCATTAATCCAATTATCAGAATAAAGACAGGATAAAATAATTTTAGGTAATCTAAGTAATGCCCTTTTTTTAGAGGGCCCAAGGCTACCTAAAAGTAACTTTACATATATATTTTTAAATTGTTTTTTTCCATTTTTCTCCTTAAGAAAAAATTATTTCTAATTAATAGAATTAATCTTTTAATCTAGAAAAAGATGTGAAAAAGGAATCCTCCTTTATACTTTTAACTGTTTTTATTAATAATAGTTTTGTTTTATTGATAATGGTTTCATCTCTGTAAAATACTATTTTACAAAATTTAATTTGGGTCTAATTTAACAATTTGCTTTGTTTTCCATAGCCTGATGGAAGATTTCTTTTTCATGAGCTTTAGCTTTGTTCCCTTTTGTAACCTCACTCCACTAAAAATCTCACCTACAAAACATCTTGTTCGGTGCTTATTACAATATAAATAGTGTACACTTTTGTACAGTATACAGAATACTACAGTAAAGTAGTATATAAGTGCATAGAGCATTTTTTTCATATTCATTCCATTCAACCCTTTCAAACTGGGAAATTACCAGACTATTATGCTCGTATTTCTTTTTGGTTACAACCTCTTTTACTGTTTAAAAATTCAAAACTATTAGAGAGCTAATTTGTTTACTGAAGAGCTGCTAATATGACAACTTTAAAGGAATGATCTTTTTGAGTGTGTTTTTATTGAAACACATCAACTGAAATTTTGCAAGCTGCTTTTTAAAACTAATCCAAATTGAGTGAGACTTGGCAGGTCAATTACAGGCCAAAGCACTTGGAAAGTCAACTCTTGAGATCCTGGTTAGGGGCCAATATTATTTCAAAATCTGACAGAGGTTTAATTTTAGTTCTTCCAACACTTAAAATGACCCAGAACATTAAGTCATAGTTTCTCAGAATTTAGTCTGGTCCTGTACTAGATCAACATTTGTCTTGCTCACTTCTAGAGAGTGCCACATTCATATTCTGGGTTGGGTGTATTGTTGCAGGCACCACAGGATATCAGTTTTCACAATATGCTAATATAATAATCTTCAGTAGTGCAATTCAGCCAGAACATGAGTACAAAACCATTATATTGTTTTCAAATGTTAGAATTATAATTGAAGAATTAATAATTAATGCAACTACAATTACTCAGGTCTTCAGTATGATTTCTGTCCAGTCAAGTAAGTAGTAACATGATAGTGGATGCATTCATCAGCCAATATATATTTTTTTGTCTTATCACATCCATGGTGTGCATATATTTGTTGATGAATGTAGGAGAAGTATTTTAAATGTAACTATAAAATATTAATCTGTCAAAGTCAATAGTTCCATTGTTACTATGTTTATTTGATATGGTACATCTGCATAGTATAGAGTTATAGTTGCAAAATGTTTGACCGCATAGACAATAAAAAACAAAACCTTTTATTGTCTGTAGCATCCAAAATTTTGCAACTATGACTACATACTAGCCTGTAGATGTATCAAATAAACGTGCTACACTATGTGTATGAGGAAAGAGTTTTTAAAATTTCCCTAAGGCTTCCCTTCTTTTCCTCCTCCTTTCTTTCCCCTCCCACCTGCTTGGTGGTAGCAGGTTTTTAAAAAGAATCTGCTGCCAGTGGTATTGCTCAGCTTAGTTTTTTGGCAGTAGTATGTTTTCTTGCTATTTATTCTTTGAATCCCACTACTACTGCCAAGTGGCATAATGGGATCATCAACAGTGAGTTCTCTTTTGAAGTCCAACTATTATCCATTGTTCTGTTTTATAATTTCACTTACAGAACCACATGCCCATCACTTCTGCCTCATTTATATCACTAAATCACAATTAAACAAAAGTTAAGTCTTGTGTTAGTTTTGCCATTGACTTCAATAGGTCCAATTTCACCCTATGACACACTGGTACTGACAACCTGGTGATTGCATTGGTTCCCCCACCCAAATATTTCCTAGAATAAGTTTACGCTAAAATAAATAAAATATTTTTTAAAAAAAGGTGTATCCTTAACTCACATTAGCATCTTGGATTAAAATAGGGGAGAAGACATGGTAACTGAGCTTTTAACTCATGTTAACAGTGCAAGTAAAAGCCTATAGAGGGAAACTGAGGTTGAACTTGAACTGCTCATCTGAGTTGCCATGTCTTCACTGCTATTTTAACCCAGATTAGCTAAACTGAGTTAAGAACACACCTGTTGTTGAAGTATTGTTGTACCCCTATTATAGACAAGGTGAAAGTGAACCTTTGCACCTCACATTTAACAAAACTCTTGCTCTGTTGGACCAAGTTGGGAGGTGAATTCCAAAGTCAAAGACTTCCTCCACCATGAAAGCTCAGCCTCTGAACACTCATATCTAGGGGCTATTGGCAAGAATACCTTTGCTGGTTTCATGGTATATCTACACTATGGAGACTATACTGGTGTAGCTATGCCAGCATAACTGCATAGTGTAGATGCAGCCTGCACTGACAAAAGTTTTTTTTTGTTGGTGTAGGAACACCATCTCCACAAATGAAGTTAGCTACTGGAGAGACAAGGTGGATGAGGTTAATATATTTTATTAGACCAGCTTCTGTTGGTGAAAGCTTGTCTCTTTCACCAAGAGAAATTAGTCCAATAAAAGACATTACTTCACCCACCTTGTCTTTCTCATATCCTGGGACCAACACTGTAAACAGTGAAGCATTCTTCCATTGACATACTGCATCTATACTGGAGGTTAGGTCAGCATAGTTGTGTCACTCAGGGCTGTGATTTATTCACACCCCTGACCAATGTAGCTGTGTTGACCTAACTCTTAAGTGTAGACCAAACCTCAGTTGTGGCAGAGGTACAGAGCAGTGTTTGTTAGAGTACTTGTATAATGTGCTCGGTATGGTCAATCCCACTAACAAAATGAGCCATTTCACTTTTTACAAGTGTTTTTTAAATGTAGTCCCTTGCAGAGTACATTACATAATCCAATTATCTCTTAGATATGGGAAGGGAGACACTCAAAGAGATTTTAAATTTCACAGCTCATATACATTTTAGTACTGTATATACTCGTTCATAAGCCAAATTTTTTTAGTAAAAAAGGGAAGCACCAGAGAAGGGGGTCAGCTTATGAACGGGTATAGAGAGGGAGAGGTGGGACACAGCCCCTCCCCCCAATAGAGGGAGCAAGGAGAGGCAGCACAGCCAGCAGAGCCAAAAGGGAAGAGGCGGGGCCAGAGTCTCTC